CATCCATCAGATTTGTCACAGTTTCAAAAAGACATTCGTGAGGAAACTAACTCAGTGCTAATAGGAACTGTATAAAGCTTTAGGGCAAATTGCATATTATTTGCAATCTAAAGTAATTTTCTAACCAGAATTTGTGCCAAATGCTTTTTGCAAATTATGCTGTAACTCTTGTAAATAATCTTAAAATAAGTTTCTATTTATCAGGTTTAAAAGTTAAACAGTTATGTACTAAACTATTGATTCAATAAAGCAGTAAAAAACTAAATACTCTGACAAGTAACAAACATTCTTCTGGGCCTGGTCTTCTTTCCCATCCTTTAGTAAATCTCCATTAAAAATAAGTGAATTAGAACACGACATTAATTTGGATGAGTGCTATTTATAGATGTACGGGGAGAGAGAAAGAAATTACGACTGTGAGAAACTATCCCTTTGCTGCGAACAGTCATCACTCCAGAAACGGGAATTAAAACGTTAATTGCCCTTCTCCTTTCACCACACTTATCCAAAGGATGACTACTGATAAACTAGTGAGATAAGTCTTTTGAATGCACAATGCAATCAAGGGCTGTGTGAGAGAAGGGAAGAAATTAAAGCAAGGTAGAATTCACTGGGGGCAGTGGCTACCTGGAGGAGAGAGGCGGCTTATCCCCTACAACTGTACCCAACCTGACAGAATTACACATTGTTTTAAAGCTTAAAAGTAACTAAACCTAACTTTTTTAAATGGGAGATTGACTGAAGAGTTTGCTTGGTGAGGATTCTGCTTGTTGTAACGCAAGAAAAGCAATGTTTCAGAGAGCGCTGAGGTAAAGAAATAGTTTTGATTTAGATACGAGAAGCTTTCAAGTGTGCAAACTCTGTTTTGAAGACCTGAAGTTATCAGATGTATTGCTTGATTGAATAAAAATGTTATTCTCCTGTAAATCTTGTCTTATTAGAAAAGAAATAAAAACATTCAGCTCAGACTTTATCATGAGTGACAGCAAAATCCATGACAAATACAGGTCAGAAACAGTTGTTCTTGATAAAACCTAATTATACTGAACCATTAGACTGTCAGAGAGAAAAAAGCAGCTAGCACCTGTGGGCAAGGGGTTAGTGAGAACTCTGATACCCAATTAGCACAAGAGGATGAAAGGAAGAAAAGCATCATTAATTTATTTCAGAGAGGCAGGGTCAGCGAGAAAACCAAATGAGTCGTTAGTTCCTACATCTGACTTTGATGTTTAATAAGAGATAGTAATGTAGACATTGAATACTTTTTGGTTATTTTGATTTTTTCTTTTATTCATGTCATGTCATAAAGAGAAAAACCTGATGGCAAATTTGTATGTTTTTTCTTGAGACCTTCTGCTGTTAAGTGCTGGAACAGGTTAACTTTTCCTAGAGCAGCCAACAGTAATTTGTACTCCAGAAATGGCTGTACATGGTAACCCATCCAGCAAGATGTCACTTACATGAAATACACAGAAAATGCTGATGAGTTGTGCAGTTTTTTTTTCCCATAGAAGAGATGATTGTCTGCATTCTTTCAGTACTTTCCACCAGCAGTAACAACTGAGACACATGGAGTTTTCTTTCAGAGAGTGAGCAGTTTCCAAGGTAACAGGAACACTGAGCTGCAGTCAAAGTGTCCCAGACTTTATTTAACTTAATATAATCCAAATTCATTCCTATTAAAAGCTTCATGGCCAATTTCGATGTGGTAAAAAAAAAAAGCGGACACCTGAAACGAAAAGGTGGTGAAATTTAATCTTGAAGGCAATAGCTTTGGTATGTTGGCCATTCAGAACTTTTAAATGGAGACATATCATTTGTAAAATACATGATTAGTGTATCACGCCATTATTAATAAAAGGGTAACAAGCCTTCTCTTTGAAAAATAAGCAAACTGGAATAGGTAAGTGTATAATATGATGTTGTGACAGTGTTATGGCAGTACATGCGTAAAACTAGATTGCTCTGGAACATATTCATAATAAAGATGAATTTGCATGTCGCTCAGCTAAAATTTCTGGGATTCTCTACCTTATTAAAGAGTATTTAAATCTTAGGAAAAAGGAGTCATTGTTTTTGATTAAAGTATTTCAGCTTTGAGACTTTCATTTGCTAGATGGGGAAAACAGGCCACGATATTTCAGTAACAAAGTGAAGAACTCACAAACTAATCCCATCTTCTTTATGGACCCTGGTGCATTTGATGTGTGTCCAAAGCACCATGCTACAGATGCGACCCCCAAGGATTTCTGATGGCAGTTCAGAAGCAGTGCTAAAACGGCAAGGCCTCCAGCCCAACCAGCTTGAAAAGCGCCTGTGGCTGTTGTTAAGCTAACATGGCTCTTTTCTGAAAGACTAAAATATTAACTAAGACAATAGTTAACCTTAGTTAACTAAGACAATAGGGACCAAAACCAGACCTGTTTCACTTAGGTATTACTGGTCAACACAGACCTGCACAACACTAAATGTCCCCTAAAGCACAAGCACACACCAGAGCATATCCTGAAGGCCCAAATACACCTTTTAAAAGCAGAAACAAGTCGAAAGATACAAAAAAATACCAGCCGGGCTCAGAAAAGCTAACAGTGAGCTTAACGCCTGCCCTCGAGGGAAGGAGGGAAGGAGGGAAGGAGGGAAGGAGGGAAGGAGGGAAGGAGGGAAGGAGGGAAGGAGGGAAGGAGGGGCTGCGGGCCGTCGACAGACCCCCCCTCAGCGGCGGCGCTGCCACCGCCCTCAGGGCGTCACGCGGCACCCACCGCACGCGACGTTGCAACAGATTCCGCGGCCGCCACACCCCGAGCCGCACAACACCACGCGCGGCCACTTGCGTTCGCTCAACGGTCGCCTGTTTTAAAAGAACTCGCCTCCTGGGCACCGCCCTTTGCCTTGCTATGATTGGCTGGTGTTGCCTGTCAATTATGCCCGTGCTCTCCCTAGCCGCCCGGTGATTGGCTAGGAGGGGTTAGAGCGAGGGAAAGCTGTGGCTGCGGGGTCCGCCGAGCGAGGTGGCTGGCGGCCCGCTGCGGTCCGCTCGCCCGCTGTGGCGCGGGGCTTTTAACGGGAGAGCCGCGCTGCGGCCTCGCTTCACCTGCCTGGGGACAGCAGCGAGTTCGGGCCCTTGCTGTGCTGTGGGGGAAGGAGAAGGCGGCGTGAGGGACGAGGGCGTGTGGAGAAGGGGCGGCGAGAAGGGGGGACGGCGGCCGCCCTCAGCGTGCGAGTCGGCGAGAGCAGCGCAGGGTATTTGTCTCTCTCCCCTCCTGCCCCACATGCTCGTCCTGCCGCCTCAGGTGGCGTTTTTGCCTTGGGGCCAGTCCGCAGTCCCACTTGCTTCCCTCTGCTGGTCTCCCACCCTAACTCCTCAGTGCTTCTTCCCGTTCTGGGGGTGCTGTGGGCAGCCTCAGCGACTTGCTCGGTCTTGATCTAGTGTCACTTTGCTGTTCTTACCGATAACGTTCTTCTTGGCTGGATGCTTGAACTCAAAGGCAAGACGAATTTACCCCAGCTTAGTTGTCTATTTGTGTACCTTGTGAGGCCTGAAACTGCAGAGGGATCCTGATTATGGAACCTCCATGCAGCTTGTAGGCTGTGAAACAGTACATGTAATTCACTTGCTGAAAGGAGATGGGGCACCATTTGTAACAGATAGGAGTCATGTTGTTAACTGCTCTTGTCTATCAGGGAGTTCTTTGTGCTCTCTGCTTCTTCCTTTCTGGAATCTCATTTTGGTGGAGCCAGTTGTTGTTTGGAGTTTAGCTTTTTAATGACCACTGATGGGTGTAATATAAACTTCTCCAGAGTGGTTACTTGCGTGGATTCCTGCCCCCAAAATGAATACCAACTTGATAGAAAAGATAAAATAGTTATGTCTCCACCAAAAGTCGTCTTTTTCTAGGATGGGAAAAAAAAATGCAGTTGGGTTTATTCTACCACTGTTCTAATTAAGGGATGCGTAGAGTCTGTTATAATGTCATATGAAGGCTGTTGTGAAAAGAATACACTGGGGAATAGTTTCATTATTACTTCAATTCAAAGCACATTTGAAATGACGGAGCTTTTGGGGAGAGGAAGTACACCTCTGGACAGTAATATCATTGCATAATGTGGCAGTGCAAGGGGCTTAATCATTCCATAAATACAATGTATAATCTTTTGAAAAACTTCAATTTATGCAAAACCATTTTAATTTGAGATACTAGGGTAGTTTTGAGTGGAATGCGTAAGTGAAAAATAAAAAGACTAACAACAATGGAGTTGGTTAATGTTTTGAGTATGGAGGCAAAAGCTTGCTTAGTGTGACTGGCGATCATCTGAAAATCTTTATGTATGAAGATGGGTGGGATGACATTTTGTACATTAACTACTATGTATGGCTCTTTTTACTGGTTCTTATTTATGCTAGTGGTAGGGAATTACATAGTCAACTGTCAGAATAAATAATCTGTGTAGGTAATGATGTTCATTTGGAAAATCAAGCTAAAAGTAATAGTTTAGTTAGTACAAAAGCAGCAGAAGTGACAAGCTGAGGAGGAGAAGGTGGCTTCATCTTCAGACTGTAGAAAAAGGATGCAATTGTAGCTGGGTTTGAACTCTTCTTCCCTCCCTTTCAGTGCAACAAGTTTGAGTTTGCTGTAGTGCTTGAGGTAAGTGGTTTCTTGGGACCTTGAGTGGTGGAAGTCTAATGAAGAGACAGTCACGTGAATGCTTCTGCGTTCTTTACTGTCCTTGATTTGCTGTTTCTTTTATTCTCTGCTTTCCAGATACCCTATTAATTGAGACGTTAACTAGGAACCCTCATTGTTCAGCAAATAATAGTGTGTTGACAAGAAATTTAAGCTGGTTTTAACTGTTTCTCTTGGAAAAAATAAACTGTTGGTGTCTCAGGACATTATTTATTGGAGCCTGATCCTGAAGACAAAGCAAGATAAAAATATAAGGGACATTAAAGAACAAACAGGAGTTGTAGGTTATTTTTGTGGTGATCATTTTTTTTGGCAGTGTTTCTTTTGGAGAATGAATGGCGTAGCACTTGGACGTACCATTTGGGCAGAGGATTGAAGTGTTGAAGATTGTTTAAGTATTACAGACCTTAAGGCAGAAAATCTTGGGAGAAGAAGGTATAAATTGAGGAAAGAAAAAGAGGCAATGAAAAAAAAAACCTCTGACTTGAAAGTTAATTTTTTTAGAGACTTGACTAGTAAAGTTGGTAATTACCATATGGGTTCCTTGGTGTGATTGTACCCCATCACCTGGATGACAGAAACTTAAAAGCTGTTGTACGAGATCTTGGCATGTCAGGGAAATAGTGGATAGAGCAGCAACAACCATATTGATAAACTTTTTGGAGGTTATGAAAATGGATAAAGTCATGAAAATAAGGACCTGAGAAGTGGGATTATTGCAACATTTTAGTTTTGCCAGATAGTTCTGCCTAGTTCTATTATATATTGGTTTTAATTAAATTAATTTTGGTTTTGAATTCTTTATATTAATTAAGCATTATGTAATGGACTTAATGTATTTCTTCAGTATTTTTGTACTAAAATACAGGTTTAAAATCTTCAGTATTTCTGTAAAATGTAGTAATAAGAGTGGAATTGTCACTTTGAGTAGCATATAGGTCTCTACACAACAATGATAGCATGATTTATGAAAGTATTCATTATTCTACCTGAACGATAGCATACTTAGAAAATAATTGTGATACCACTTACAAAAGTTTGAATGTAGAATGCGTAGTTGCTGGTAAAAGTTCAGGATTATCACAGCCACAGAACAATATTTTGAAAGCAAATATATAGGTCATAGTAGTTGGATGGAGGATTGAAGCTTTACGCTAAACAAAGTCGCAGTATAGCGACAAGTGTAGCGGCAAGTATAGCGTAAGTTGTTTTTCTGTGCTTTGGTAGCTTCTGTATATGGAAAACAACTTAGAATTATCTGAATTGAAATATCTACAATGTTCTGTTGAAGCTATTGCAGATATGCATGAGGAAAATAAAGCTGCAGCAAATGGATGTGGAAAAGTCCGAAGTGGCACCCAAAATGAGGCTGCTTTACTGGCCCTGATAGAGAAGACTGGATACAGTATGATTCAAGAAAACGGTCAAAGAAGATTTGGTGGTCCTCCACCAGGTAAGCGTTTCTTTTGAGATTACGAAGTTTATTTTCTGTAAGGAGAGCTATACCGGATCAGACTGTCAGAAAGTTTGAGTAGCTCCATGTCCTGTATCTTGTCAGTGACCAGTACTGGATGCTTAAGGAAAGAGCGTAAGAAACACAGTGCTTACAGGGTCCTGATATGTATTTTCCAGCAGTTTAAGATCTCTTGCGATAGACTATGTTGAACGTTTACCCTTGGTGGATTTAAGAAGTCACAGCTTTAAAAGCAGCTCAAGTTGACAGGTAGCAAAACAAATGCTGAGCTGAAAATACTGAGTGTGTTCCATATGACTGAGAACACGCTTGAAAACTTTTAGTAACACAGAAGGCTAAAACATGTTGGTGAGAGCAGACATAACTGACTTTATTTCTTGTCTTGCCACTTGTATTGGCCAAAGCAATTTTTTATACAAACCTCTGTTCTGAGATAACACCAGTGAAGGTAATCTAACTCATTTTGTTTTCAGAGTTGAATAATCTATTCTCCATATCTAACATAACCTACCCACCCCACCTTCCTCAAACGTTCGTTCTGAGAAGAAAAATTTATAAATGCTGAGCTTGTGGATATTTTATCATTCATTGGATGTATTTTTAACAGTGAAGTACAACGGTCAGAGTTTAGTATTTGTGTGTTATTGTTCTTTCACTTAATACACTGGAAAATAGAAATTGTTGCGTATATATCCATGTGTAAACAGAAAATAAGAGTTGGTAAAAATCCCAGAGAAGAAACAGATTGTGTTGATGTTATAAAAACTACAGTCATCTTCTTGGTTAATTTGTGGTGGTTTGGGATTTATTGTCATGGTGCAAATAGGAGACTTAATGTACTTGAACTGGGAAACTACTGCTGAAGAAATAACGAAGAGTTATTTAGAGAAATAACGAAATATTCAAGAGTTAAATTTTATGTTGTTTTTTTTTTCCCTACCAAAATATCTTTTTGTTTCTCAAGAATACGTTAAGAAAATAAGTGGCTTCTAGGTCATTTGGTTTGAACTTTTGTGTATCTTACACATTTACTGTCTGCTCAGTTACTATTGTGTTGAGCCTGATGACTTTTTTGGCTAAGATACATTTTCAGAGAAGTGTCTGCATTTGATTTTGATAACTCCAAAAGGTTGGA